CACCTGGTTTATGGTAATTTCCCTTTACACAACTACAACATGGGCCAAATGATGAATCTAGTCCGGGTACTTACAAAAATACCCTTAAAATTAGGGATGTTTTGAAAAATCATATGAAAGGTTTTTAAGAAGTAAAAAATAATGTGTAAAATGAAAAAGTGACACAATGTCACTTTTTTTTTTAAATAAAATTTGTCACTTTTTTACTTTTTTTTAAAAAGTGACAAAACTAAAAAAAAAAAGTGACACTCTCAAAAAATAATACAAATTCAAAAAAGTGACTCGAACTCAAAAAAAGTGACAAATACCAAAATAGTATCATTCATTTGTGTAGCATCAGTGATCATGTTCTTAAAATAATCGACACGTCCAGGTCAATCCACATGCTGATTATGTTAGGAAAATATAACATATTATTTTATTTTTTTTTTATCTTCTTAAAAAATGACAAAAACTTAAAAATTGACAATTTAAAAAAGTGACACAATGTCACTTTTACAAAATTGATGATGATAGTTCTTGGCAAGTGATTGGCAATAACGGTCTGCCAAAGAGAGGTAGTCATTGTACAATTCTTGAAGCAATGCAAGCAGCTATGACATTTTCTGATAGTAAGCATTGGTCATTTCTGCAAAACTATCAGCAATATCTTCTTTAGAGATTTTCGATATAAGCATATTCATCATCTCGTCCAAATCTGATAAAAACCCATGTTATTTAATTGAATGATAATCTTGGCTTTATTTGTATAATTTTTGAAATTTGAATTCCAACTAGTACACTTTTTTTCAAATAATTAACGTTCATCTACAAGAATGGACCCCTAGCACATGTCCTGGGTATCAAATAGCAGTGACAGAAATTGGCTCCATTTGACAATGAAATTAACTTAATTCATTTGAAAATTGAAATTCATTTGGAGCCATTAATCGAACACTTGATATGCACAGTAAATGAAATGAGTAAAAATTTCTTATGATTCTATGCTAAATCCAAATATTCCACAAACAATCCATAAAACCAACATCACCTACGCCCATACTC